TTCTATTTGTTGACCTGCCAATCTGACAGGTGATGTGTTTATGTTTATAAAGATTCTAGCACAAATTTAAAAATCTGAAGTAAAAATTTAAATTTTTATTTGCCACATTTTTTGAATCTAACGAAAAGTTTATTTTTTGAATCTCATAATAAATTATATTAAAAATTACACAAACCAGATGTACATAAAAATATATTACATTTCTACAATAATTATTGTTAGCTAGCCTAATTATGTTAGAGGAGATTGCTTCTGATGAAATTATGCTTGATGTTGAAGATGAGAAAATTTCCTCACAAAAGAGAGCAATCATATGGGATCAATATCAAATCCTTAAAGATAGTGAAAAGGCTGCTTGCAATCATTGCAAGAGTATTATAAAATGTAAAGGCAAAACAACATCTCCTCTTATTGATCATTATAATAGGTTTCATTCACACCTTAGTAAATAATGAAATTGACATTTTTTTAAAGTCTTACACCAAATTCTTCAAAAAAAAAAAATTAATTTTAAGGATAATTTATTAAAATTATTGATAAATAATAATATACCTTTTAAAATTATTAATTCAATTGATTTTAAAAATTTTATAAGTGATCTTGATTGTTCTGTAAAATCATTAAGCTCCAATACTTTTAAATTGCACATGTATAATATATTTGCAGATAAAGAACAGTTGGTAAAGGAAAAATATATAAAAATAAAAGTCAGTTTAATTTTTCATCTGACATTTGGACTAGCAACACAGGTTCCTTTTTTAAGGCTAACAGTCCATTTTATTGATGATAATTTACAATAAATAACATAATTTTGGATGTCAGTCCAATTAATGAAACACATTCAGGTGAAAATATATTTAAAGCCTTTGTTAAAATAATTAAAATTTATAATTTAGAGAATAAAATTTTTTATATAACTTTTAGATAATGCAACTAATAATAAAACATTTATTGATATATTTTCTTTAAAATATCCATTAATAAAAATAGGGCACATCCGATACTTTGCCCATGTAATTAATTTAATATCCAAAGAAATTTTAAAAATTTTAGATCCTTCAATTCTAAAACTAAGAAACATTATTAGAATAATTCGCATGTGGTGGAAGGCAAATGCATATCGGATCCCCATGCTCTCGAAAATGGCAAGGGATTATCTATCTATACAAGGAACATCAACTGCTTGTGAAAGGCTTTTCTCAGTTGGAACTAATTTATTGTCAAAAAACCGCATGTCATATAAGGAAGAAAATAAAAGAAAAACTCTTTGCCTTAAAAATTGGCTTAAATTATAAAATAAATTAATAATATACATTTTAATTTTGTTTATAACTTGATTATATATTATTTATTATCAGATTATTGATTACATATTATTATAATTTTTTCTGTTTAAAATCAAATTTGTAATAAAAAAATTTGGCAATATATTTGAGTATGATTTATTTTATTAAAAAAATAATATTAGATTTGTTTAAACGAATCGAATATGAATAATGCACTATTCGATTCGAATTCGTTTTTAATAGGCCTAATTTTCAGTAACAACCTCATCCTCCCATCTGTTGGGGTTTAATTTTGATGTGGATGCTATTTATTTCTAATGTTACATTTAACAAGTAGCTAAACGAATTTATTATTTATTAATATCTTTTAATTGGATTCTCTTTGCTTCTACGTCGATGTTACATTCTTCTATGCAAATCAAATCTAACAAGTTTTCAATATGTTTTTTTACTTCATTAATTTCTTCCGACGACAACATCCTCATTTGTCGGAACTTTGGTATTAAAAATGTTGAAACTTTATGGAGCATATGAATTTTAAATTTTTCAATTATAAAATTTTTAGCTCTTTTCTTTATTATATCTATTTCTTTTTCGCATTATGTTTTTCTTTCCATTATATTCATATTTATTTCATTATGCTCATGTAGAAGGTTATACCTAATTTTTTTATAAATTAAGAAAAAATGGGCATAAATCCCAAAATATTAATTTTCATACCATATAAGAACGTTCTGTAGTGTAGGCCTGCAATCACCCTCAAGAGCATTAGTTGCATCTTTATATGGTTCCAAATAATCTATCAGTGTTTTTAAATCTTCCTTTCCCATAGATCCCATTTTTTCAGTCATATCACAAGATTGTAAGAATAAAAAAATCTCATCAAACATTATATAAATGCCTTGTAGCATGTTATGCTCTGTATTCCATCTTATATCAATATTTTGTAGTAACGTCTTGCTTAGATATTTTACGTTGCCACTTTGTTTGAAATAAGTCGTCAATGATTTTGCAGCTACCAAAATATTATTAATATTGGGAGCATTTTCTAAAATAAAAGTTGATACGATGCTGAACAGTTTAGTCTGTTAAACCTAATGTTTGAAAAAATAAAAGGAAAATATAGTTCTTTAAATATAAATGTTTTTTCTTTAGGTGTATACAAAATCTCTCAGAAATTATTATAATATCTACCTAATAATTAAATTTTATTTAATAAAAAATTTACCCTTCCAAAGCTTTTTTAATATTTGATCCGTAACAAAGACTAGCTTAGAAAAATATTATCGGGGAACACAAATTTTTAAAAATTTTTTTAATAATTCTTTAAGAATATTTTCTCCCATCTTTTTTTCATCTTGAAATTTTGAAATAAAAAGAAATTTTTTTTCTAATTTCCAATTTTGTATATAATGGATTCATAGAGATATGTAATCGGTTTTGGTAAATTCTTCCCACATATCAGTAGTACATGAGCAAATGGAATTTTTTATCATTTCTACAATTTTAGGAAATAATATTTCCTTAAGATCCTCAGTAACTTTGGATACATTGCGGCTAACTGTTGTAGCACAAGGGATGATCTTATTAACATCCAATTTACCACATGTTTCCCCTAAGTCGGCAAATCTTTGTAAAATATTTATAAATCCAGGTCCTTGAACTGCCTGAAATGTCCTAAAAAAGATAAAAGAATAATTAGTTAAATTAAAATACCTAATGTCTCTAGCGCAATATTCTACAAAATTCGCTATTAGACCAGATTTTATCGTTTTGTTTAATTGAGAATTGTCTTTTTCAAAATATCCAGTTACTTTTTTATTAATTATCAAATCTTCATAATTTGCAGATGGACATTGATGCCGAAGGAAGAAGGAGGTGCCACTTTTCTTATTATATTTAAAGATGGACTTGCAATCATTGCAGCAAATCCAATCTAGCTTTTTGTCATTTTCATCAAAAATAATTTTAAATTGTTTCCACATGACGATTTAAGTTTATTATTATTATCTTCATTGTTTTTTATCTTATAAAAAATATTATTTTTTTAAAATTATGTTATAAAAAATAAAATTTATATATTATATAAGAAAATGAAAATAAATGGGCAATATAAAGATAAACAATCATTACTAAAATAAAATAATACAATGGAGTAATTTCATTATTCCCATAAAAGGAAATTTTAATTTTCAATATCTAAAAAATTATTTATTTTAAGAAAAAAGTTTTATTTCATTACCATAAAAGGAGATTTTAATTTGTTTATAGAAAAAAGTTTGTTTTTATTTGTAGAAAAAGTTTTTTAATTGAAGAAAAAAGTTGATTTATTTTATAAAAAATTATACCAGAAAAAGGCTTTTTATTTTTTAAGTTCGTAAGAACAATTTTAAAATTTAATTTTTTTAACCCGCCCGCCCATTGTTTAAATTTAATAACCCGCCCACCCTCCCATGTTAAATTTTTTTTAAACCGCCTACCTTCTCGTTCTTAAAAATTTTACCCGATGGCGGTCGGGCAGGAAACCCGACCAATGCAGACCTCTAATTGGAATAACTTGTAAGAGTATTGTGGTAAAAAATAAATATGGAGTTTTTAAAAAAAATGGCTGTCAAAAAATATTATTTGGAATAAGAAAGGTTAATTGAATAAAATATAAAGTCAGAAATAGAGTTTAATAAATGATTAGATTTTCTAAAATGATAGTTACTAATGATCTGCATCGGGTCTAATTTTTCTAGCCCGGCCTGGCCCGAAATTTATTTTATAAAGTTTTGCCCAGCCTGAACCCGAAATTTTTTTTAAAAAATTTGGCCGACCTGGCCCGAATTTATTTAAATATAGAAATTAATTTTTATGATTATTCAAAATAAACGATATATGTTATTTGGCGTCTACTTTCTATAAATATAATCACATATTTTTATTTTACATAAAAAATTCAACATAAAATTGATAATTTAAAAAAAATTTAAGGCCCGACCCAGCCCGAATTTTCTTAAAAAATATGGGCCTACTTTTGCATATCTCTAATAGTTACGATTCCGATATTTCCTGCAAGAAAATTTAATAATTTATTGTTGAAAGATAAAAACCCAGTTTTCATGCACTTGCCCTGCTATTAATTAATTTTTACAATTATTTCGATATTTATTATATTTTTTCATAAAATTATTTATAATGTATAAATATATATGCTCAAATCTTTTTAAAGAATCTAAAACTTTAATTCTAAAATGAATCTGCCAATGTAAAAATTTATATTCCAGCTGGAAGCTTAAGAAAATTGGGGTCAAATTTTTTTCTTTTAGACATTTTTTTTACCTACAAAATGATATAATTGTATTTTTTTACCTTGAATATTTTTGATATATAAGCAAAAATTTTATACCTGCGAAAATCGCCATTTTTCGCACCTCTAAGGCTTTGTTTACCGGGAATTAGATATGCTAGCTAGCAAGCTAAGATAAACAGCTTTTTCATTTTTTTACCGATCTAGAATTTTTTAACAACATGATTGATTTGACATGTTTGTTTTTGACTATAAAATAAGAAATGTACTAGATTAATTTTCTCATAATCACTTTAAAATATTTGAGACACGTCACTATCATTTTAAAATAATAGCTCGGATATAATTTTTGAAAAACAAAGAAATATGCCAAAATATCGTTATAATTGATCATTAAAAATTATATATATAATTATTTTTAGCATTGGGAAAAACAAAATTTGATGTTTTCGTTGATCTCGGATATCATTAATAAGAATCAGACTTACAAATTATTAATATTCGTCCGGACAAAGAAGAAATGCAACATAATGAATAATATACTCACTAAGAAGGGGTAAGATTTATATTATATATTTTTTTAGATATAACTGGGCCAGTCCTAAAAAATTTTTTAAAAAATATCCAGGTCAGGAATATTTTTAATAGCCATTAATATCTATAAAAATTAAAAATAAATATAGTCTGTTTTTAAAAAAAATCCGAACACTGCAAATGATATCTATGTAGGTCTCTGATATATCTTTTAATCGGCTTAGGCGTTTCATCCTTTCCAATATTTCTTGCTAACAAGCCTATTGCATCTTATTTCTAAACATGTATATTGATTCTTTCTTTTTAATTTTTTTTATAGCCATACTTTTTACGTTTTAAGACATATTATATGATAAAAGATGAATAGTTTCCATTTTGTTTTTTATTCCCTTTTTTCTTCATTTTTTTATGAATAGGTTCAGAATCTGCAATAAATTTCATAAGTCTTATTATTTTGCTCTCTTGTTGCATGTCACAGAAGGCTTTAATCAAAGCATCTTATTATTTTTATGTATGGACGATCATTATTAATATATTTTGTGGGTGTATTAGATATTTTAATTTTGAATTTTTGTTATGGACAAATCTTTTATAATCAGACATCATATATGTCTGTGTAGATTCATGTACAATAATATCCTGATTGATATTCTGCCATTTTTCTATCTCTTTTCAATAAGTTAAATTAATTTTATAATAATTTTTTTTAATTACCATCGTTCAAGGATACTATATTCTAAAAAAAACATTCAAACAAGTATATACCTCCTTTTAAATTTTAAGAAGCAGCTGCTTCATACCCCCATTGTTGTAGAGGCCACTGTTCTAGGTGTCTTTGCCCTGACTCAATAAGTATAATGATTGTTTAAAAATTTAAAGAAATAGTCTCAAGTTTTATAAATAATTAAAATCCAGTATAACCAGACATACGATAACCTTACATGGTGAGGGGCACATAGGTTCTCAAGACCCTCAGAAAATTTTGAGTTTTTCAGTCATTTTGAAATTGTTAGCTTAAAAAAATCAGAATTTTAGAGCCCACTGAGACTGTAAAGGCTAGTGGTGCCACGGCATTGAAATAGTCAATATTCTGACCATCACTAACATTTTATTTTAAAAAAGTTGGTCAGTATGCTGCATTCATGGTGACAAACAACAGTTAGATCGAGAACAAGTTTTAAACGGTATATTATCAGTTTTATTAATTGAATTCAGTGTAAATATTATAATTATTTTTGCATAATTAAAAATTCTATTTTTTTATAAGTTTGTTTTAAAAATCATGAAAATATAATATATAATGATCTCGATTTAGTTCTTTTTCATAGTTTGTTATTTTTTTCTAATTCCTATTTTAAATTTAAGTTAAGACCTTAATAATAATAGCTTGATTATGGTAAGATTGTAAGCACTGCTTAAGATTTTATGAACTATTTACATAAAATTATTGTTGATTGGATTTAGAGTTAATAAAATACCCTTAAGGATATGATCTTGATCCTAGATCAATTTTGACACAAAATATAATTAGAACTTTATAATAATCGCACGACATAATGTTAATCACGATTTATATTTAATAGATTTTAAAAATGGGACTACACCAATAATGGTTGCGACAAGTGTAGCTTCACGTGGATTAGGTAAAAAAAATGTTAAATTTTTTCTAAGCCTAATTTTCTGCAATATTTTATTACAATTGATTAATTTGGAAATAATATGAATTATATTTTTCAACATAAATGATTACATTTATATCCTAAAGTTTTCTTGTTTCTTTTTTACTATTCGTCACTTTCATATATTCTCAAAATATGACATATTTCCCTCCTTTGATTTTTCTATCTTCTTGATTCTTTTTCGTCTAATTATGTCACAAATTCATTTTACATTTGTCTATTAACAACTAACTTGGGAACATAATCCACACCATGAATTCTTCACTGTCTGCCACTTCTGTTTGATTTACAAAGTATGTAGATTCTAGCTTTGTAATCACTTTTCCACGGGCTAATATTTTTTCCTCCCCTTTCAATTGATGTATTCATACACCTAAGTTATAATTGTCCCAGTCCTTTATAATATCTCGGCGTTCAATAATTTAACCATGATTTCAATTTTTTACATCCTAGGTTAACTTAAAAATCTTCCATTTTAATCCTCATCTCTTGTTCATTTTTTTGTATACTAACATTTCTTTCTATACTGTTCATTCTTTTCTTCAAATAATTATTCCAATTTGTTTATCCTTTTCCTGCTTCTCACCTCTGTTGGCTGCTCTTTATTTCGACTATAATTTTTATTTAATTATTTGTGTGTAAAATTTTGATAGAGAAAATAACTTAAATTTATATTTAAAGGTATAATTATTAAATATGTTTCAATTATAATATGATTTATCAATTAGTGAGTCTCATTTATTTCAAATATTATTCTTTGAACACTCCTCAATTCTCTTCTATACCCTTTTATTTACTCTTGGTTCTTCTCATCCCTTACTCTCCTTTCCCATTATTCCAATTCGAATATTTCAATATTCGAAATGTTCTTCTATTAATACTCAAATTATTTTTTGTATTAGTCATTTATTATTTCTTGTCTTTAAATTAAATCTTGCGAGTTCATACTTTTTCAAATAATTCGACGAATTATATATCTACCCTCGATTCGATTATTCTATTCGAATTATCTGAACTGATATTTATATTAACAAAATTCCGGATTGAATTTGAATATGAATTTAATCCTTCTTAGATATCGGTCTCTGTTAATTTACCTTCTTATTCTCTGCGTCTTAATTGTTCCTCATGTCTTGCCATACTAATCTCATTAACTCACAATGTGTTTGACTTCCTGTCACTATATATCTTTCCTTCTCCAATCTATTACTCCTGTGTTACCCAAACTGCTTGACTGTATGTATCACGCAATAAAAACCATAATAATTACTCCAAAAACCTTTAAAAACATTATTCCGAAATATTAAATTGAAACATTTTAATTTTTTCAAATATATTCAACGTAACTATAATCCTTAATTATTCCCTATATTTTTACATTATTATACAAATCTCTCACTTTATTATTATGAAATTATATATAAAATTTTTTTATATGATTATATAATAAAACCAAAAACAATAAAAAATATCGGATCGGTTTTTTAAAAAAGATTGACCCTATCATTTTTTGAACTAAATATCGGTACCGATCCGTATTAAATATCGGTACCACCCTAAGTTTTAACTATTTTATGCTAAACCCCATTAATGATTTTCTAGCTTGTCTTATATTATATAATCTTATTAAATTTCCTCTTGTGGCTTGGTGAATATTAGCTTATTTGAATTCCATTCCATATGGGGAATTTGTTCATCATTTTTTAACCAAATGTTGATTTACAGAAGCTTTTTATTTCAATTATTAATGTATGAATTTTCAGTCAATAAGCCAGACAATATTCACATGTCTATTCTCTTAAAATGCTTTTATATGTATATTAAATGAAACTTATAAGCTCTAATTTTTTATGTGAATTATGCTAAATGTCTTAGGTTAATATTTATATATAAATATCAGCATCCTAAACAAAATATGTAAAATATGATTTTTCTAAAAATAGATACTATAAACAGTTTAAGATATTTTTTTATTGAATTCCTTTAATCAATTAATGAACTAAGGTAAGGTACATATCATAAATATACACATTTTTACTAATTTTGAAAGAAATTAGTCAAAAAGTTAGTGTGGTGGCCAGTCATCAAACATGGCCATTTCTGCCACATCTCCTCTATTCATTTTTCTATTTAACTCTTAAAATTAATTTCTAGTGAGGTATTTATCTACCCTCACGATGTATTCCTCTCTGTTATCCCCTTCTAAATAGCGTAAGTTCATGAGAAATATTTCCATCTTTATATTATTTTCCCAATTAAATTCATAAATATTTATGAGGAATCTATAAAATTAATCATTTTGATTTCACTAATTTACCTTTAGATTATTTCTCCAATTAAACTCATAGTTATTATCTGTGAATCTATAAAAATTAATCATTTTAATTTCCATTCATTCCCCTTAATTTCTAAATTTTATTATAAGAAATACCCATATAATTATTATCCCCCTTAATTTTTATAAAACTTCCAATGTTAATGCTAAAATAATTGAGTTAATAAAATATATTAATTATAATGTTTATTCGGTGGTTAAATTTGATTCCACTTAAATGTAGACTTTTTGTGCTATGATGTATGCATATTTAATTGTTCAAACCAGGGATTCGAACCGAACCCAGGTTTTTAGAAAAAAAATCTGAACCCGAATCATAAAATTTTCAAAACCCTGAACCGTGGGAATTTTATTTAAACCCGAGTTCAATTGGGTTCCGTATTGTTTAAATTAATATAAGATATTTGTATAATTGTATACAAATATTAATTATTTGCTTGAGGTTTTATTATATTTTCAAATTTCCAATTAAGTAAACAACTTAATTCATTTACTCCATTTTTGATTTTATTCTCAAAGATTTCTATTGGATTGTTAATAAATGTTAAACAATTAAATTCATTTACGCCATTTATTTTTAATTTTTAACTTATTCTCAAAGATTATTAATTAGAGGGAAATGAAAGTGAAAAAGTCAAAGTAAAAATTATTTTATTGGATATTGTTAATTTAAAGAAATTCGTCTAAATTAAATTTTTAAAATTGACACGACTATGCTTTGTATTTTTAACTATATTTTGCCCATAAATAAAATAAAAAATTTATTTTTATACCAAATTTATGTCTAGTTTTTTAATTATGATTTAAATATAGAATTTTTTTTTATCAATTCAAAAATTCTTAAACCCGAGCTGAACCCGGAACCAACACAGGTTCAAAAATATTTCCCTAAACCGAACCACCTATTTTTTTTAACCTTAAACCGAACCAGGGCAAAAATTTTGACGGGTTCGCAACCCTGGTTCAAACAATTATAGCCATGTAGGTTTTACCTTAATTTCAAAATATAGGCTTATACATGTTTGACACACGCCTAGACAATTTTATACAAGTACAATTATAATAATGTAGGCTTATATATATTCTATGATGCATGTCAAGTACATTGTTTTATTTGTTAGTAAAAATAATTTTTTCTTTATTTTTGCACCCTTTTATTAACTTTCGGAAACTTCTCTATTCCCTTTCCTTATCTCTTTATATTCGATTTTAACTATCAAATAATAAAATCATTAATTTTGTTAAGAATTATAGTTTGGAAGTAAAATATATTATATTTTTAAAAACTCGGCACATTGATGATTTCTGTTATTATTCTATTATTGACATTTGATTCGAATTTTTGAATCGACATTGCATAAATTTTAATATTTTACAGATGTCGAAGACATAAATGTTGTCATAAATTTTGATTTTCCCGATACTATGGAAGATTATGTCCATAGAATAGGTCGTACTGCCAGATCCACAAAATCTGGAACTGCTCACAGTTATTTCACTCCTAAAAATTATCAAATGGCCTTTTCTTTATTAGACATGCTTAAAAGTTCTGGCCAAGAAGTTCCACATCGTTTGTATTCTATCGCTTCTAGATATGGTGGACAGATTAAAAGAGGTTACACTATAACGTATTATCAAATGGCATAATCCTGTATTCATTAATTTTTTTAGACTTGAGCGTTGCTTTTATAATACTATTTATCTTGCTAGAATAATCAAGAAGGATATAAATTATAATTCAATAACCTTTTGTACACCTTATAAAATTCTACCATATTAAATTAACTCAGATGATCGTGATTGGAATAGTAAAGGTAGAAGGCCATCAGAAGATTCCCACGAGAGAGTAAAAGACAGGCGCGTAAAGAGTGGGAGGGAAGAGTCAGACGATTCATCCACCTCTGACATCAATGAATCTGGTCATCAGGTTAAGGTCATTTTTTTTTAAAAAAGAATAGCTTTATCGCATTTTCACGTTATTTTAATAATGATTTATAATAAACCAGGTCTCATTATCAACTAAACAACCTCGTGAAGTCGCCACTTCTACTAAGCAACCACAAGAATGCCCTCCCATTGTCCCTATTCACGACCCACTTGTGGAGGCCATGAAACTTCAATTGCAACAACAGCAGACAATGATTTACACTTCTGAGGCTTCTGCAACTACTCCTTCTGCTGGAAATGCCTATGATACTTATTTGGCCCTCCAAGCCAGCCAACTATTTAAGCAACAAAACCCTGAACTCTTTAAAAAAAATGACGATAAGCGTGATACCAAGGACAGAGATGATCGAGGTGCAAAATGGAACAAGAGTAAAAGTCCTAAAAGAAGACGTAATAGCAAAAGTCCTAAGAAATCTAGATGGGACAGTAAAAGTCCTAAGAGATTGATACGTGATAGTAAAAGTGGTGAACGCAGATTGGAAAGAAATGCTGCTTCCAGGGATGAAGATAACAATCGTCATCGAAGTGATAGGACCCGTACTCGTAGCCATGACAGGTCAATAAACTCTAGTCGTAGGAGAGAATATAGGGACGATGACAGATACAGAAATCGCGATCGTTCATATAGGGACCGAGATATAAGTAGGACAAACGAAGACCTCAATTCCTCTCGCAGAGGGGATGAAAGACGTAGAGACAGAAGAAGAAATAGCCAAAGCCGTAGCAGAGACAGGAGAGATGACAGATATAATGAAAATCGTAGGCATGATGATAGGATCACTCGAGGCCAAGGAAGAGAAGAAAGGAGGGATAGAATTGATCAAAAAACTTCTCGTCCTTCATCGTTTTATAAAGAGCAACAAATGCCTCAGCAATCCCAGGAGCTCACTAATTTTCAAGCACTTAATGCTTCTAACATGGCCATGGTTAATAATTTGATGTCTATGATATCAGGGGTCAATAGCTACGATAAAAATATCCAAAGCAACTTACTCACAAATAACACAGGTAATGTAGATCCATCATCTAACCTGATGATGAACATGATGTTAGCAGCTATGAAAACTTGCAATAACCCAAACAACAATCAATCATTACAAGTTAGTAACTTAAATAATTCAAGCTATTTAAATGATGTTAATCGAAACAATGTTGGTTCAGTCCTCTATGGTGATTGCTCAGCTATTGCCAACCAAAATTTTCAATTGTCACCCAATGATATTTCTAAAATGAACAATGACCTATTTTCATATAAAAATGAAAATTATCAACAATACTCAACTTTTGTTCCAGAAGCTTCAAGTAATTTTGAAAGTAATTGTGACCAAAATTATAATAATAAAAGCAATGGATCTTATACTGATCGAAACCAAAATATTCCAGCACCACCTCTTAATGACTATAGGGATTCACACAGAAAAGATTTTAATAATAGATACCAAGAAAATAATTTTATTAACAGACGATAAAGGGTACTATCTGATAATTATGTTGTATATTCGAAAACACAGTTTTTGGATTCTTTTATAAAATTGTATTGATTATTAAATAATATTGCTATAGTTAACAATATATCATTTTAAAAAATAAAGTTGTTAAATATTTAATGATTATGAGAAAGTCGTTTTGATTGATCCCTTTAGATTTTGGTTAAAAAACCAATTAAACTCCCTACAAAGTGTTTTTTCACAACCAAAACCCGACGCGAGCCCAAATAAAATTTTACAATTTTAGTTTGGATTAGTGTTTATAAACTGCTCGATTTGAGCCAATTTTTAAAAACGGCTAACTCAATATTTTTGCCAGAAAAATATTGTCTAAGCCTCGAGATTTTGTTAATAGATATTCAAACCTTTGTGCCACCTATGAGCACAATTTTAAGACTTGCAGAATTTTCTTAATAAAATATTGAGTTAGTCGTTTTTAAAAATCGGCTCACAGTGGTTGATTAACAACACTAGTTTGGATATTATAATATTTAAAAATATTTATGTGTATTTATTCATCTCCAGCTTAAATAAAAGTTTATTTGACGGCCATAATCTAATCAAAATATATATTAAGTTGCATTATATTTAATTTGTAAAAAATATTACAAGAAAAGTTATACAATCGAATTTAAAAATTGTCATTATATTAAAAAAACAATAAGCATGATTTATGTCGATATAGATGATATAATAGTTAATATAGAGACTAAAAAAATAAACATATTATAATGACAGATTATTATCAAAATTAACACAAAGTAAATAATTGTGATATATAAATAATGAGAAGTCCAGTTTATCTGGCTTTAAACGGGTCCTTTTCTCCTCAAAGGCCCTACCAGCAGTTGAAAACGTTCTTTCATTGCTAGGCGACGAAGTAGAGATAGCTAGGAAATTAAGAGCCAAAATACTTAAATTTGTAAAGTCATTATGGTTCGTCTTTTACCAATTTTAAATATTAGTTTTAATACATATAATTTAGCATCTATTTGAAGTTTGTCAACTTTAACGCTAGCATAAGAAAAAATATTCATAATTTAATAAACCTTTATTCACTACGCTAGAATGGTGAGTTGGTATTTATAGATTTTTGCCCACTCAAATCTGTTGATATTATCAGCATTAATCAACGTGTTAATATGTTGGCACAAATCTTTATAATGTTCTCGGGATAACAATATCCCGAAATTTTGGGTACATAAATGTCGAAATTTGGTTAAATATATTTGAAATTTATCCACCATTATTTCCCGACATTTTTTCGACAGTTGATTAAGCAGCAAGTTTAATGTGCAAAACAACAACTTTGTGAATGGTGGGTTTTAAATCACCCTCAAGTTCATCACTCGCAATTTTAAAAGGCGTCAGAATCTAGATAAGATCTCATTTCATAATCTATATTTTCGAGCCTATTTTGAATTGACTAAAATCGATTCACATCTTGAGTCTGCTATTCCATCGAGTCTCAATACACAAATGGAGTGTTTTACAAAGTTGATTAACTAATCTAAATATTTTAATAAAATGTTGATTTAACATACCCACTTCTGTTTCATATAAGGAACTAAACTTTACAATAAAAAACATTGATATATCTGAACCTTGAGATTCAACAATTTTATTATTAAAGGTATTCCTTAATACTGTATTTAAATGAAGAAACAGAATTCAATCGTTTATGATTTCAAATGTTTTTAATGTTAAACAGCTCGATTTGAGCCGATTTTTAAAAAGGCTAACTCCATATTTTAGCCAGAAAAATATTGCCTTGTTTTGAGATTTAGCTAATAGATATCCAAACCGTGTCATTTATGAGCAAAATATTAGGGCTTGTATAATGTTTTACCGAATAATATATTTAGTTAGCCCTTTTAAAAAATCGGCTCAAATCGAGCCGTTTAACAACACTAAATGTTTTAATCATTAGCTCCTTGGTCAGTAATGAATGGCATTTCAGATAGATATGCCCTATTGTATCCGATATAAAAAATACTGATTTTTTAAATTATTTATAATGAAATCAATACCTAATAAGGTGAATTATATTTTTTAATATTTTCACCTTATTTTTTCTTCAAACTTGCATGTATTCGTTTAAAAAATGTAGTAGGAGTTACATAGGATAATTTCTTATAATCATAAGACCAAAGGTTTGGGGTGGCTATAAAAAATTATAAATAATTTAACCATATATTTGTTACCAGCACATCGATGCTTTTTCATATATGCGTTTAATTTCGGAAATATTAATTGCATATACCATCAACAGTATCTATTAAATTCCTAGAAATTGTCGTGAGATTTGGAATGATGCTTTAACATCAATATTTCCATGTATCCAATTTTGGCAACATAAAGAATTATATCAAATAATCTTAAATCATGTTCACAAAACATGGTAAATACATTTGTACACTTCTTTTTTTTATAATTTGGCAAGTTTTTTGGAAGCAGTACCAAAAAGGCTATCAATTATTAATTGGGACTTTTTACTATGTATTAAATATACATTTATTCCTTTTCAATTGATTTGTGCCTATATTTAATATATAATATACTAACCTTTTGTGGAATTATAAGATGTATGTATATTTGCAAAAATTTAAACTCAGATAAGTTTATCTTTATTCATCATATATAAATGAAAACATTTTCCAAACCTCAGAATTGCCATTGTTTAATCGTGAATGAATTTTATAGCGAAGGTAATATCGCGAACCCTTTACAACGAATATTGCACGAAGTCATTAGCGAGCGCATTACCGCGAAATAATAAATATATTGTGATTGCATTTATTTAAAGGAAAGCAACAATTGAATTAAATTTATTCACAAAAGTTCCTAAAATGCAAAATGTTTTATGGATCTTTTGTTACCTATTGTCTATTAAGTAAGCACGTAACCTTTATCTGATATGATAAAATATAAATTAACTAATATCTTTCTGGGCTCTTCTCGCGCATGGCTGTAAGTATGGAGTGGATATTTTGTTCAAGTTATTATCCAAAAAATTCACCCCCTACCCCACATCCCCCCTTCAACGTAAATTTTTAAAGTGTGATTTATGCCATTAAAAGTATTTGAAATATTTTGAAATTTCTCCAATCAAGATAAAATTTCCTGATTTTCTCAGATTATTTTTAAAAATCATACAACATCTTGCTAACTATTTTTTTTTTAAATTTTCTCAGTATTTTATTCAATTTTCCGAGTTAATACACAAAGTAATGAATAATTTAAATACTCAAGAAATCATGCTTCACTTAAAATAAATATTTCTGAGCAATTTATATATTCTAACTAAGAAATTCAATTCTGAGAAAATTAAAATTTTTACTTAGCAAAATCATCTTTTGGGAATTCAGTAAAAATTATTTTAAATAGTTTTAATTCTGAGTAATTAAGAGGAAAAAATAACATGCTGTAAGCATTACAATATTGGCTTAAATTACAAAATTAGTGTATGAAAAGTTTGGCAGGATTCATGCTTAAGGTTGTCTCAATATTCAGATTCTTATTAAATTTTGAACTAATTATTTTTAAGAAATGACAAAAAAATATATAAATTAGAAAAATTCCTTATTTCACTTAGATGTAATTTATTTTTGAATTATCATTTAAAATTCTATTAAGACAGTCTAATAGCTTATAACTCCTGGTTAGTGACTATATTAAGATACAGACAATAAATATCGGCGCAACCAAGATTAATGTTATTAAAAAACCGTTGGCTTAGACTCAACCTGGCTCAGGAGTTGGCTCAAGTCGGCTCAGGAATTGGCTCTAGTCTAATTTTGAGCCAAAATTTATTTATTTAAATATTTTAAAAGAATAAAGTTCCCTCATATATATTCTTTTAATAATATTTTTATTTTTTTTGTTTTTTAAAAATTTTTTTAAACATATTAATTTATGTTATATTATGAAAATAGATTTATTTATTTGATGTTTTTAAAATAAAAAAATGAAATACTGTCAGGGCCGTAACCAGAAATTTTCAGTTAGGGGGGGGGCAGCTGCTTACATAGGGGGGAGCACTAATTTTTTAAATAAAACAAATAATAAGCATTCATAGAAATTTTTTGTTATTTTTATTAAAAAATTATTAATGTTATATGAATACTTAATACTATGATATGAACATACAAGACGATTTTTATTTTTAAATTTTAACATAAATGAATTAAAGGATAAATTTTGTGTTAATCTTTTTTCATAAGCCATCAATACTAAATTTTGCTTACTTTGATCTTTCGAGAAAGAAGCCACCCAAGAAGCCGTTGGTACCAAAATGATGACGGCTGCTGAGTAGCATTTATACAATCTTTAAATGCATGATGATTTTTTTTAATACATAATATTTAGGATATTTTCAAAATTATATGTTTCTTTAACTTCTGCAGCTATAATAATCCTTTAGCTATTTTCATTTCATGATGTAAAGTTTCTTTAATAATTATTCTAATCGGGCCATTTTGTCCGATATAAAATAATCACTTTCAAAGGGGGACAATGCATTAAAACTTGATAGAAGATTATAATCATCTTGTGTAAATCTATCTAAAAAATTATCAACAAAGTAATCAATGATTTCATAATAATTCCATTTTAAAAAACTCATATAAATTTCGTAATTTTATTTAATACAGGATCTTTTTGGATGGTGTATGAAAACATTGCTATAAATAGTCCAGAAAGAATAAATTATGTGTTCTACATTTGCAGCATCCGTAATTTTTGTTGAACCAGTCACACAGAAAGGTAGCTCCTATATGTAGGCCTAAAACGAATTATTTGTTATTTGATATTCGATTCGATTCGTATTTTACTAATACGAATAACACAATTATTCGATTCGAAATTTCGAATCGAATATGAATAATGAGGAAAATTATTCGTATTATTCGAAATTATTTATATATAAATATTTGTAATTATTCGCAAATATTTCATTGCAAGTAAAATAAATCTCGATTTTATAAACTCTATCAGTGCGATTGAGAAAATAGAAACTTATTATAACTTAACAAATATTCACATTATA